AGAGCAGCCTGATGCTCCTCAGCTCCTTCTCCCGCCTGATGAAGACCAATTTCGGGTCATTTGAGGTGAGGGCTTTGATCCTGACGTGCCAAGCCATCCCCTTTCATCCTGCCCCTCCACCAGCTCATCCTGTTCCAGGACCCCATCCCATCTGGGCCCTGGTTGTTCCACTCCTCACCCTTTTGCTCCTGCAGCTGGCTGTGGAACAAGCATCCATCGCTGCTTGCCACAGCTCCCTGTGAACAACAGGGCGACATTGAGCCCCCCCAAGGCAGTGATCCCATCTTTGTGTTTCAGGGGGAGGCAACCCAGCTGAAGAAGGATGCAAATGCTCTCCTGAGCATGGTGGACATGTATATGGCACAGTACAGGCAGCTGCAGAGTCGCACGGGCCACTGGGAAGAAGAAATCAAGCAGCTGCTGCAGAGAGGAGAAGGCGAGAGAGCAGTAAGGCACTGACTGAGTCACCTTGAGCTTGAGCTGCAGGTGGCGTGTCCCTTGTGTTGCAGTTACTGTGTGCTGTTCTCCCCTGTGCTCCAAAGGGGCTGGATGTCACTCTGCCGTGCTGCAGGTGGCACATTTCCCCAAACACGGCCCATTGGGGTTGGTCCCACCTTCTGGTTCTGCCAGAGCTGGAGTGAGATGCCACCATGTGCTCAGAGCTGCTGCTGCAGGCTCTCCTTAGCACAAATCCTCCATGTGAGGCAGGTTAGGGACCTGCTCCAGGACAAACTGGAGCTAAGGTGGCTCACGGTGGCTTGAGCCGGGTGAGGAGCACTCACGCAAGCCTCTGCTGATAGATCAGGCTGTGGTAACCTGGGTTCAGGGGAAACAGCAGGCATTTGTGGTCTTCTCTCAGCACAGCTCCTTGCAGGCTGCTGCTGTGGTTCCTGTGACTGCCCTGGGACCATCTGATGCTCCTGTGCCATATCCTTCACCTCACTGTGTCCCCTCGGTCTGTCACAGATGCTGACCCAGTTGCTGTCCCGAGCCAACCTCGCCAGGTCTACAGCCCTGGAAGCCGTGAGTGCTGGCAACGCCACCTTTTATGAAGTGGAGCAGATCCTGAAGAGCCTGCGGGGTAACCTTGTGCTCCTGACCTCTTCCTCCCCCCAAGTCACAGCTGAACACGCTCAGTGGGCTGCAGGTGGCCTCTGCCAGAAACGTCCTCAGAGACGTCCTCAGAGCACCACGTGCTGTTCCGCACTGTGTCTGTGGTGGGGACATGATGCCCAGCGCCTGGTGATTGTCCCAGTGCCCCCACCAGGCCAGCAGCTCGTGAGAAGGAGCAAACACCTGTAGCAGATCCTCTCTGGCAATTGCTTCTCTCCTCCTTTCTTACCTGTGCTGTCGCCATTGTGGGCAGACTTTCTGGAAGATGAGAGAAGTCTAAACCAGGCCAAGCCAGGAGGAAAACCTTTCCTTTTCTCCCCCTCATGAGTTCTCACACAGGTAATGCCACTTCATGCTGATATGCATTTCCTTTAGAGTTTAACCTGCAAGCAGATGACAAGAGAAGGGAAGCTGAAGATGCTATGAGGAGGCTTCCAGTTATCAGCAGCATGGTAGCAAGTGCCAGGGAGAAGACAGACCGAGCTGAAACCATCCTGGGCAATGCTGCTTCTGAATCCAAAGCAGCCAGCAGCATAGCAGGAGAAGCAAAGGAAATCACCACGGGGATCCAGCAGGTGAGGACAAGCCCTGGTGCTATTGTCGACAAAAAGAGGTTTGGAAGGACAAACCATGGAGGAGGAGATGGCTGGTGACCCCTGTGGTCTGTGTGGTGGATGTGATGCATTGGCTTTTTCATTGACTTTTGTCTATAGTGGATTGTGCAGAGATACCTGAGGTAGCTGGAAAAGAGTGGCTGCATGGGGATCTCTGCAGGCAAATTTGTCCCATGGGGATCTCTGTAGCATCTTTCTGTAGCCACCTCTTGGTGACCAAGGGGATTTTTCACCCTGAGCCCTTGCCTGTCACTGCCACGGCCAGAGTTGCTGACAGGCTGATGAGATCCCAGGTTTGGTGCTTGTGGGTCTGACACCCAAACTGTGTGTCGTAGTTCCCCAGGGACTCACCAGCATGTGCCAGATGGGCTGAGCCCTTATCATACAAACAACTCTCTGCACCAGCTGGTGAGAGCACATGAAGGACGCAGGAGAACCTGTGATAATTTGGGTCCCAGGGTCCCTGGAAGGACCCAGTTCCCACCAGCTCCACGCCTGGGTGCACCCAGAGTGATTCTAGCCATGCTCTGCCCCTGAGCAAAATGCCTTTCCCTTCTGTAGGAGCTCACACGGCTGAAGCTGGAGGCCAACAAAACAGCTGACGGTGTCCTTGCCCTGGAGAAGGCAGTGGCAGCCCTGCAGCATGAGGCCAAAGAAGTGGATGGAGAATTCAAGGGCAAGATGTCAGAGGTTGAGGCGGATACTGCTATGATACAGGAGGTGGGTCCCTGGCTCCCACACCTTGTCCCCTTCCCTGCTGACATTTGGGCAAGACTTTGCTTTACAGCTTCCACCTTGCATTCTTCAGACAGCTCAGGAAGCTCAAAGCGTCCATTATGAGGCTGACCAGGCAGAGGTGGCTGTGCAGGAGACACTAAGCGCCCTGGAGGAGCTGCTGCATCTGATGAGTAGGTTTTGCAATGTTGCTGTAACCGTGTAGTTCAAATCAGGCCACCACTGGGCTCTGCATGGGGGTGCCGAGTGTTTTGTGGGAAGTTGCCTCAGATGACACCTGTAAATTGGCTGGAGAGCAGGGTAAAGCTGAAGTATCTAGGAGGAGCTAGTCCTCAGCCTCCACCCATGGTTACTTATTCCTTGTTTCCCTCCCGTGCAACAGACCAGCCTGGTGCTGTGGATGAAGAAGGCCTGAAGCAGCTTGAGCTGAATTTTGGTAAAGCCAAAACCAAAACCAACCGGCTGAAGATACAGATGTCAGAGCTGGAGCAAAGAGCCACACTGCAGAAGGTCCGGGTACAGAAACTGGACATGAGCATTGATGAGATCCTAGCAGATATTAAGAACCTGGAGGACATCCAGAGAAGTCTTCCTCCTGGCTGCTACAACACAAAAGCCATTGAATTACCTTGAGCCAGCTCCAGGAAGGCTGCAGCCTGAGCCCGGCTGAAGGTGGGAGAGCCTGGCCCAGCTGCTCTCCCCAGGCCTGGCAGGATCAGCTGTGTCGGACTTGTGTCAAACTAAACTTTACACTCAAGTTTAGCATAGCAGCTGAAGTTCGTCTTGTCACGCTGGCCCAGGAGAGTCCCTGATTTTCAAAATAATCCGTCCCTCAATTTCAGGAGGAAGGAGATACCTGCTTGCGTGAAGGTGCTTCTGACCAAGGAGCCCATTCCTTCCACAGTTCTCTGAGGTGCAGTGGCGGGGGTTGCTTGGTGCCAGCCTGGGGAGTTTGCATGGTCATGTTTGAGCCTGAAGCTCAGGGCTGAGAGGTTCTCCAACCCCTTTGGATCCCCTCTCCTTGTCTGGTACACACAGTAGGACTGAAGGCCTTTTCTTTGCTTTTCACACCGCCGCCACCTCCTTGTGCTCTTTGTGGGGCTTTTCCTTACTTTCTGGAGCTCAGCAGGTAGGGACTGAGCAGTGTGAAGTGGGATGAGGTTTGAGCCACAGCACTGGTGATGCTTCTCATGGCTCTCTCCTCCCAGCTTGCCCAGTCCTGGCCTTGCTGGAAATAGTCCTGGTGTGTTTTTTTGGTGTGTCTTAGAGATTCAGCATCAGATGCTGCTGCTGACCCCTTTCGTAAAGCTGCAGGTCTTCCACCATGCATTGCAGGCAGGTGGAACAGCGAGGAAAGAAAATGATGCCAGTTGGCTTGGAGCTCGGGGTGATGTGCTAGATGGAGGAAGGAGGGGATCCTGTACTAGCAGGTCAGTGGAGGAGGGGACTGCTGGGGCTTCTGAAGTGGAAAGTCTTTCCTCTGCTCCACCTGTCCCCTTCAGCAAAGAAGAAAGGACACCCTTTCTTTTTGGGTCCCAAAGTCCTTGAGGAATGGGTTTTTGTCAAAGCTCCTTCTGGGCAAACATGGGTCTCCCTAGCAGCCCATCACACACATGCACACAAGCACAACTTTCCCTTCTGTGACCGGTCAGTTTGGTACCAGGCAGCTCCCTGGATGTGCCCAGGAAAAGCAAGGTTGTTTCTCCTCTGCGCAGGCACTCAGGAGTTGAGGCACTTGTCCCAGGAACAGGAGCTTTCTCTGGGGGAATCAGCCAAAACACTGGCATCTAAGAGCCCAGTCCCATCTTTACTGCAGTGCCAGCACTTTAATTTGATCTGTTTTAGAATACTGAAAACGGCTTGAACGTTTCTCCACCTCTGGTTTGGTGCTGCCCGATCCCTCCCCTTCCTCAAGTGTGGTGTGGGATGTTTCCCAAAGGGCGCTAGTCCTGAGTACTTGTGCACAGGTTGTTTCTGCCAGAAGTCTTTTCTGAGCAGAGCGTGGAGTAGCAGAAGCCTGAAATCCTCCCTTCAGCCACCTGCTGCTTAGAGGCCATTTGGGGGAGCTCTCAGGTGCTGGTCAGCCCTGCTGAAGCCCCCTGACCTGCATGGTGGTGAAGGAGGAGGCTCTGGGCAGAGGAGGACGTGCTGGGGGACTCACCCACCCTGTTAGCTCTGATTTTCTGGTAAAGCAGTGCCTGTGCTTTTGCTTGATAAAGGTATACTGAGTAATTGTCTGTGTTGTCTTTGTATTTAAGCAATATTCTTGCCTTTGGCATATTTTCCTGTTGTACAGGATAGGACAGGTATTACAGAGCCAACTTTATTCTTTTATGAGTCGGGTTTTTGAAAGGGAGGAGGCCAATAAATAATTAATACTTTTGGCTGGCTCTTGCCTACTGGTTTATCTTCTCCAGTGCCATGCTTTGGTGAGGATGGCCATGAGTTCTCCCAGCAGCTTGCACTCCTCGTACTGACTCTGTCTTGGCACTGGTTTAAAAAGACACAGCAGTGGTGAAAGACGACACCAGCAGCACCTGTTTTTTCTTTTCTTTTGTTTATTACATAATTTAAACATTTTGCTGATAAAGACTTTTCTTTTGTCAATGACCAATTTCTTCATATAGCAACAGAAGAAAAAAAAATTAGGCTCCAAAACCTTTCACAAAAGTGATATCGGTGGCATGGCAACTTCAACACCCCCCTCCCCCCCACATTTTATTTTTTTCCCAAAAGGCATTTGAAGTTCATTTCTCTTTCAGCAAATCACACTTTAAAATTGGAGATTCAAAGACCAAAACACAAGAGCTTCCTCCCACCCCACCCATGCGCTGGACACCCCCTTCCACACCTCCCCACCGTCTACGTGGATCTCGAAGGATGATCTTTCCCATACCCACCCAAAGCCGTTTTCAAAACCAATCCCAGCATTGACTGACCTGTTACAAACCCCCCTCCCACCCCATCCTTGCCCCGTACTGTGAGTTTTACTGAGCGGATACATGAAGGCGTAGATAAGACTAGTAAGACAGAATATATTCATCATCCCTATCACAACGCTATGTCTCTAAGGCATGCCATCCTAAACACGATGAGATTGAAAGCCAGCTGGCTTCCCGCACGTCCCATCTCGTGTACCTGAGGGAGGGAGGGAGAAGGGGATCTGAGTTTGCTCTCAGATGTGCCACCTTCACTCCTTAGTGTCTCCTCTTTTGTTTTCCCATTTCCACCATTAAAATCCACCATCCTTCCTCCCTCTTCAAAGCTGCTTCACTTTTCCTAGAGGTTAAAATCCCTTTGTGTGTGTGTGTTGGAGGCTGGCTTCTAACATTATTTTTTCTCCTCCAGCTTGGAGCTAAAAACTGAGCGTGATGTCTGAGGCTGTTGTCTAGAATAACTTCTGTGCTGGGTTTGAAAGGATGGAGAGGCTGAAAAACTGACCACACAGGACAGTGAGGACGATGGATTTAGAGGAATCTAGCCACTGGCTTACAGACGTTGGGTATTTATGGACAAGAAACCCAGATAGGGGTACCTGCCCAATGCATTAGCTAAGGGGGCTTGGTAGGATGTTGGTTAGCAGCTCAAACTAGCAGAAGGACATCTCAGGAGCAGAGGCATCCCTGCGGGCTGATTCCTGCATGCTCTGGCCACTCTCTCTGGTTTGGCCCTTCTCTGCGGAGCCGTTAGCTGCTGCTCATGAAACCCTGTGCGCTGTGAGGACCTGGGGTTTGCAGGCAATGTTGTCTTGCCTGAGGTCACTTGCTGTTGCAGAGATGCCAGCTGCCTTCTCTGGAGGGAGCTGCAGCAGATTTATAGCACAGAGGACAGCAGTGTCCAGCAGGTCACCACGCTTAGTGCAATGTCTCATCTTTGAAGCTTCCATCTTTGAAGCTTCCAGCTCGTGACTCTTTGTAGAGTTTAAGGAAGAAGAAGAAGTAAATTCAGCTCTTTCCCTGAAACACCCTGGAGGAGTCTCAGCCTTCATGTGTGACAGCACAGTACTGGCCCTTGCTGGGGAGCAGCAGCTGGTCACAGCGCTGCCCTGGGGATCATGAAGAGCAGGTGTGCTGTGGCAGGGGGTTCCCTAGGCCTCGTCAGCCCGGGTCTTTGGGGAATGGGTCCAGGAGCTATAGACACTAGAGATACAAGGTTAGAAGGAGCAAGGGGAGGGGAGAAGGTGAGGAGTAGAGCAGGACTGTACCTTCCTCCTTGCGGCTGTCATCCTTCCGTGAGGCTGAGCAATCAGGGGAAGCAGATTCCTTTCATCCTGGGCATACCCAGCAGGAGAGTATCCCACTTCAGTAACCCTTGTCTCTGCAGGACTTAATTTCTTTTGCTCCATGTTACCTGCCCTGGTTTGGGACATTTGGCTGAGCAGGTTACACAGGGCACATTGCAGGCATGAAAGTAGGAGACTGGCTTGTCCCAGGGGATGTGTGGAGTATGCAAAGCCAGTTTTGGGAGGGCAAAAATATCATGAATTTAATAAACTCTTCAAGGATTGGAGTGAAGGGAAAAGGGGGGAGTTTACAGGTAGAAACAGAGAGCTGGAGGCTAGAGGATGAGGCAAGACCTGGTCTCCATGAAGCTCATCCAGGCCTGAGGCAATTCTCATCAGTGGCTTTGGGTTGCCTCCTGCTTCATCCCTCTTCTTTCTCCCACACTTCTTGGCCTTAGAAATGGCAGGTCCCTGTCTAGGTGCTGTGGGCCATCCCCTCTGATGTGGGGGCTGGAGTATAGCCTCACCCCAGCTCCGCTTGCCTTGGGATGAGCTGGGCTCACTGGCAGCCAAGGAAAGGTGAGACGTGACATACTTTCCAGCAAGTAATGCTTTGGCAACAGTGTTTACTCCTTCAGAAATACCATCTCAATTTTCAGGGTCAAGAGAAGGATTTTGGTGGCTGGGTTGTCCTACTGCTGGCCTGAGGAGGTCCACCTGTGGTGGGGCACCGAACCAGCTGTGTTACACCTGTCCACTACCCACCAGGATTCATTTGGAAGCAGGGCACTGGGGCAAGAGCTCCATGGGGCTGACATTGCAACTAATTAAAAAAAAAAAAAAAAGTCCACCTAGATGTATTGAGCTTAAGTAGGGTAAGATGATGCCAAAGAGGAAGCCCCTGCTCTGAGCATGCTGGGAGGTTGGACGGGGGGACCATTTCCCAGTGACATGTGTGGGGGAGGTGTGCCAGAGCTGCCTCCTTCCCCGAGCACACTGAGCACATCTCTGTCCCCCTCCCTCCCCACACATGATGGGGAGGGCAGTTCCCAAAAAAAAGGAGACCAAACCATTCCCCGCGGGGCTGTGCCGCTAGATGTTGCTGCACTATGGAGCGTTGGCGCTGGGAGTGAGAGGCCGTGGGGTGGGGAGAGATGGAGACACAGAAAGAGAGAGAAAAGTGTGATGGAGAGCTGTAGGGACGTGGGGCAACAGGGTTGTCTTTCTGCAGGGCCTCAGGTGCTTAGCCAGAGGCATTGATGTAGAGCTGGCTCTTGAGGATGTAGTCAATTACGGGCTGACAGAGGTAATCCACGACATGTCCATCCCCATGCTGCAGGGCCAGTCTGGGGGAGTGGGAGAAGAGGATGGGTCAGAGGGTGGCCCCTTTCCAGGGCTGACCAGGGGTGGGAACACCGTGGTGTCCCCATGGATGGAGGGGTTGGCTGGGGACACCCTGATTCCCCCCCATAGCAGGAGGCCCTCAGCATCACCCACCTGCTTTTGGTGGAGCTGATGACTGACATGGGGTGGTTCGAGTCATCCTTCACCACCAGGATGTTGCTCTGTGGAGGGAGGAAGAAGAAAGAAGCAAAGGGATGGCCTGAAAGCTGGTGTCAGCCAGTGCCCAGTTGATGACGGGGAGCTGGGCAGGGCTTGGTGGCCCCATTGCTGATCCCTGTTAGCAGCAGGGGCAAAACCAAGGTGGAATTCTCTGCCCTCCCCCCCCGGCCCTGTGTGATGTTGGTGGGGCTGGGTGGCACTCTGAGGCTCTCATTTGGGCTCACAAGAAAGTTTCGTCTCATGGAAGTAGTGCAGCAAAGGGCAACAGTGAGGGCAACAAAGATGATGAAGTGTCTGGAGGGAAAGACGTGTGAGAAATGGCTGAAGCCCCTTGGTTTGTTCAGCCCAAACAGAGCAGGCTGAGGGGAGGCCTCATGGCGGCCTGCAGCTCCCTCACGAGGGGAGCGGAGGGGCAGGCGCTGAGCTCTGCTCTCTGGGGACAGAGACAGGACCCAAGGGAACGGCATGGAGCTGGGACAGGGGAGGGTCAGGCTGGGGGTTAGGGAAAGGTTCTGCACCCAGAGGTGGTAGGGCACTGGGACAGGTTTCCCAGGGTAGTGGGCACAGCACCAAGCTGCCGGAGTTCAAGGAACATTTGGACAATGCTCTGAGACACAGGGTCTGATTTTTGGGTGGTCCTTGGACTTAATGATCCTATAGTTCCAGCTTGGGGTATTCTCTGATTCCCCAACTGTGTGTGAATCCTCTTACCTTGTACTTGCGGAGTATTGAGGAGTGGTTCATGATCCGATCAGGGTCTGCTCCATCCCGGGGGACCACCACAATCCCGAACTCCCCAACGATCACCTCCATCTAGAATCAACCCAAAGAGAGTTTTCATAAGCCCAGTGCAAAAACTGCTACCATCTCCTATCCTACCCTACCCCTCCCTCCCCCCCTAAAATGGAGCTGCACACACCATGAATGCTTAGCAAAGGTCTGGATGGAGCTAGCCTCAAATTTACTCCCTTTCTGGGCAACCTTTGGCAGAAACTTGGATTTATTAAGGAGTGCTGCTGGTGACATGTTGAGTGGTCTGTGGTAGATGAAATAAAAAGGAACAGGGTTAAATTCTATTAATGGAGGTCAAAGTTAGGCTTTAGGGAGGACCTGTCATGGTGGAAAGGCTAGCAGCAGCAGATGTTGCCTGAGGAGCACATGAACTCTGCCTCACTGGGGATTTGAGTGGAAGAGGCGGCAGCTGCACTGCTGGATCAGGCACGTTGTCTGCACAGCCCTTCATCCCTGGCCCTCTTTGTGTTTACATTATTATTTACTGTTCTCCCTGAGATAGTGCTCCAAGGCTGTCTCACCATGGCTGGGTTCAGGACGGAAGGGAAGAGGTTTGGAGGTACTGATCACAGCACCACGCAGCTTGCTCCCACCAGCCTGGGGCAAAGTGACTTGCCCAGAGCTGGCTGAAGCATTTTTTATTTCCAGCAGTCACCAGCTGTGATTCAGCGCACAGAAGGGGGTGAGCAGGTCAGTAATACAGCCCCTCTCCCTAGGGCTGGTGTTTGAGATGGGCTCGCGTCTCAGAGCACCCCCATTTGTTCCCCCATGCCAGAATCCTAGCAGTTCACTGTAAAAGCACCAACATCTGAGCAAAACACAGAGCTAGGCATCTCTATAGGGGTAATTTGCCATCTGCAGGTTGGATCTGCCTTTGCAGGGGAGAAGAAAAGAGACTTTTTCATCTCTCGCCTTGCATTCTGCAATCTGGATGTAGTTTCAGATGCCTGCTCTCCCCACCAACTCCACCACAGCCACTATTGCAGCTGGCTCGCTCGCTACCCCACTGTGAGATGGTGTCAGACAACATCTGGCTGAGGATTCAAGATGATTTTTCTTCTCAGTCTTAATTCCTTCTTTCTTTCTTCCTTTATTATTATTTTTTCTCCTTTAATCATTGTTGTTATTACTATTATTCATTCTTCTTTCATTGAGTGCAAGCTGTTGATATTGTTTCAAATGTCTTCAATTTCTAATGTCAGGACAATGCTTCTCTTACAGCAGTTTTGTAAACCTCTACTTTCCCACCTTGTCACCTTACTCTGCTGGGGCACGCACCTACTTGATCCTGTCTCCTTCCAAGAGAAAACAAATGGGAGTGCATTCTTCAAAATCCCCTAGGAGAGGGTTATCCTGCAGCAGCTGTGCCTTGGGTGACCCTGTGCAAGCAGGCACAGGTTTGGAGGCCAGGAAAGCTGAGCAGGGTTGCTGACGTGGTTACTTGTGCAGGGGAGGCATGGGCTGGGGGCGGTGGGGACAGCAGGGGTGGCTCCTGTGAGCCTGGAGGACCTGGGTAGCTCCCGGCCGTGCTGGGTGCAGGGGAGGCAGCAGCAGAGGAGGGATGGAGCCTGGGGAAGGTGCATGGGGGGGTCCCAGCGGCGACTCACATCAGACTCATTCCAGAGGCCAGGGATGCAGAAGGACTCCAGCAGGTCACTGCCACAGAGCAGGAGGATGCGGAGTTCTGAAGGAAGGAAGTGGAAAAGCTCAGAGGTGGGGCAAACAGGGCTGGGCAGACCTCCCCTCCTTGCTGTCATCCCATTGCTCTGCTTGAGTGAGTCCTTCCACCGAAAAAAAATCCCCTCCCCCCTGCCAAAACATGTCCTGCTAAAGATCCCACGGTCCTTCTTGCATCCCCAGTGGTGCCAAACAGAAAGTTCACCTCGAACTACCCCATGCACTATCTCATCTCCTCTTGTGTGCTGCTGTGTCAGTGCTGTCTGCCCCTTGGTAGCTGCTGTGCCCTGGAGGTGAGATATACCATGGGACAGGGGTAATTTCTGCATTTTATGGACGCGCATAAGTGCTCTGTGATCCGCTGTGGGGGCTTGATCCACAGAGAAATCTGGAAGACCCTTGGGAGCTGATGGTCCCAGGTCCCTTGCCATCAGGGTTCCTGCACTGCTGGGCACTGGCATGGCATGGCGAGGGGCTGGGTACTCACCAATCTCCTCGTATCTCATCACTGTCCCCAGGTTGGCGTTCTCATCTGGGGGGAGGCAGAAGAGAAGTGCTAGTGCCTGGCAGGGGTGCTGGGGAGGGAAAGAGGGCCTGGAGGTGGTGCTGGGTGTCTCCTGTACCTACCCACAAAGGTGAAGCGCTCCATGGGCGGGCGAACACAGCAAATCCGACTCAGGCTTTCTCCCACCTTCCCCAGGATCTTTGCTAAAGGCAGAGAAGAAAAGAGGTAAGATGGAACAGGCTTTTTTCCACAGCTGACCACTTGCACAGAGTATGGGAGGCTCCCACACATGGGTACAGCAGCTCCCACCACCTCCTCTGGCAGATGGCTCAGCCTTCAAATAACCAAATATCCATTAGGTGCAATGGAGCCTGCTGAGAGACCTGACCCAGGCCAGCCAAAAAATGATTTTTTTTTTTCAGATGGAGCAGAGAAGGGCAGAAATATGCCGCCAGGAGAGTAGAGGGAGCTGGGCTGGTTTTCATCAGGAGCATGGACGTGGGGCAGCTTAACATGGAGGTATAGAAATCTTTTGTTTGATTTAGGAAAGACAACCAAAAATAAGTATAAGTCATGAGGCAGGTGCCTCCGGGCAATCTTGGGGATCCCAGGGCTGCAAAGAGTTCAAGCACCCTGCCGTTCCCTATTTCCAGTGGTGCCAGCACACCAAATAACTGTGAGGAGGATGAGGGAAATCTCTGCTCCACCATTAGCGGTGGAGGAGGATGAGCTGGAGGAGCTTGGGAGAGCTCAACCCAAAGAGGCATGTGTTTGGTAGCTTGGGCTGGGATGTGAGGACCGGGTGGCCAGCTCCTCCTCTCTACCTCCAGTGCCACCTACCTGCGGTGGGCTTGTTGGAAACGTTGTTGTTCTGGTAGATGGGCTGCGGAGACTCATTCTGGGGCTGTCCGATCACAGGGGTCATGGAGGGGGTGTTGACGTTGGAGAGGATGCAGCCAGTCACTCTCTGCAGCAAGGAAGAAGTTTAATTGAAAGGGTGGCTTCCCCAAGACTGGAGGTGCCTCCCAAAACTTTTACCACCCTGGTAGCAAGCCCGTGTACTCAAAGATGAAGGTCATCACTAGTGACAGACACATCCAGACTCATTTTAGGATTCCTGTTGCTATGTGACCCCCCACCAGATGGGTCTTGGGCCCAACGAGTTGTGACTAGGACAGTGAGGTTGGGTTTTTGCACTGGCCCTTAAGGCTGGCAAAGTTGCTGTTGTCTTGTGCACAGGCAGGTGCAACCTCTGTCACTTGAAGGTGCTCATAAGTTCTGAGAAGTTTTGCCTAGACATTTGGACAGTTCTGCTTTAGAGGAAGTGTTCCTTGTTATCTACTGCTCCTTGCTTGGCCCCTGCTTACTGGTGACAGCACGAGTAGCTGATCTGAAGGGCTCCGTTTGCTTTTGTGTGCAGGGAGGAGGAGCAATACAAAAGCTGTGGCAAGGGGCCTCACACACTCCTCCGGCTCAGCCAATTGTCTGTATCTTCTCTGTTTTGGTCTTTAGTGCCCACCTCTGGGTTCAGGAGCACCAGCTGGGTGGAGGATGGTGTCTGCTGCCTGATCCTGGCATGGGATTAGGTCGCAGGGTGCCCACAGCACAAGGGCACTCACCTTCATCAGGTCACGGTGGTGCTCCAGCACGCTGCAGGTGGTCTGCCAGGTGTCCTGGTAGCACTCCCAGGGGTCCACCCTGCAGGAGCAACAGCAATGGCTGATGTCCTCATGTGGCCTTCCGCCAGCCCTTCCACCCAGCTCTCCCTGATGGCTTCATCCCCACTTGTCCCTTCCTTGCACAGTCCCCTGTGCAGCACGGGACCCAAACACGTGTGTCCATGCCCAGGCTCCTTCCTGCTCGTGGTACCCAAATTCCACTTGGCTTGGACGTGTCTATGTGTGCTATGACCCTCCCTCCTGAAGGCAGCTGAGATGCTGGTCCCACCTCAGTTGTGGGCCTCCTGCGGGCCACTGCTTGCCGGCCCGTTGGCCCTAGTGCCTGTCCCCAGGGTGGCTCTGACTCTGTCACCCACAGTCTATCCAGGCTGGAAGGGACCACGAGGACCATGAGGACCATCGGGGCCACTCACCGGATCCAGTCGGAGGACTGCACGGCCAGCTGGCACATGGTCAGGCGGTGCCGGCTGGAGACCAGGCCCTGCAGGAGAGGGGTGAAGGAACGATCAAAATGAAGATTAAAAGGAGACGGCCCATAAACACAGCTGCAAAAAGTGATTTAAACTCCTCATTTCTGGGTGAGGGGGAGTCCTGCCTCAGAGCTGTGGCAGTCAGCGTGGCTAAGGTATGGTGGCTGCAGACCCAGAATGCTGGGCAAGGCAGAACATCTCCACTCCTATGCTGTTTGCTTTTTTTTCTTGTTTGATTTTCTCTAGAACACAATTCTAAAGCTCACTTGTATTGCTGCTCTCCTCAAAATAAAACTGGGTTTTAAAATAATTTAGACAACCCAACCCAAGCAGAATGACCACCATCACTTTGCTTGGCAGCAGTTCTCTTTGCTCTCTAGTTTTAGCCGGTTACAGGCTCTCACTGCAAGTTTTACCTAAAGCCTGTGTGGTTTTATCCCTCTCCATCTTCTTGGAAGCATTCCCGTGGCTCCAGGATGCTCAACACGGCGCATACAGAGAGGAAAGAGATCACGGGGACAACTCACCATCTTCCCATAGGAGTCATGCACAGGTGAGACGATGCCACCAATGACGATGAACCGCCCAGTCTTGTGCAGGTAGTCACGGGCCCTCTCTGGAGGGGAAGAACAAGAGGGGGTCAGTGCACCAGCCCAACCCACCGAGCCCTGCAAAACTATATTTTTGGTTTTGCCAAAAGCCCTTTGAGGGGTTCACCTCCAGCTTCATATTGCCACCACCTCAGCTCCCAGCTGTGAATCTGGTACCTCTTGCGCCCCCCAAAATTAGTATTTTCCATCATTTAGGCAAGGGTTCTAACATCTTCATTGTCCACTGGCTTTTATTGTCTTCTGTAGGGCTGATTAAAAATTATTTTGTTCCTCCAAGTTTTGACATGCAGAAAAAGGAATATTTTTCATGAAAACAGCTTTTGGGACAGATAGAAGTCAAGAAAGGTATTGTGATTGCCATGCCCCTGGGACAGCCAGTGAGACATTTGTCAGCCTTAGTGCGCCTCTTAGACTCCCCCTAAATCCTCCCTCTGGCTTTCTTCCCAGTCCTTGTGCCCTGTACATGCTGGTGTCTGAAGGAATTAAAATGGGGTTGAATAATTTGATTTGTGAAGAGGAGCGGGGAGGACATCTTGGCTTGCTCAGCCCTGTGATAACCAAGGGAGAGAAAATGGGTTGGAAAGGGGTTTTGAGAGGAGTAGGGGCGTTGGGTGAAGGAGGCTGTCCCCTTTGGGGCAGGTTGCTAAAATCAGTGCTCCTGCATGATTATTGCTATGCGTGGTATAAGTTATGTACATAAAAAGACCCTATGCAGAAGCTTGAGAGTCCCTTGTGCATGCTCAGGACCTCCACAAACACTGAACCAGTCCCCAAAAAAGCCTAAAATCTTGCTCTGACCCCAGACTCCTGTGTGCATTCTATGGAGGAGCGTTGGAGAAAAGGAGCTTTGTTCCCATTTACAGCTGCGGAGTGAGGATTATGTGGTGACTTCCCTGGGACTTCCCTTTATAGCCTACTGTCATGGCCAAATACGCACTTAGGAGAAAAAAAAAAAAAAAAAAAAAAAAAAAAAAAAGCCTTTCTTCTCCATTTTGTGTTTTAAAAAGAGGAATTGTAGGGAAAGAGTGGCAGCTTCTCCCTCTTGGATGCTCCGTGCATGCTGTTATTGATGTTGATAGAATCACAGAATCACAGAATGGCTCGGGTTGGAAGAGACCTCAAGGATCAGCTGGTTCCAACCCCCTGCCACGGGCAGGGACACCCTGACTTGCCGAGGTGATCGGAATCTGGGGCAGACGCGTTCTGCCGCGGAACAGGGGATCGGGCAGGCAGGGCTAATTTTTCCGGCACCGAGCCCACTCGAGGGAGGCACCAGTACCCGGCAGCCCTCACGAGGGAGGTGAACGAGGCGAGAAGGAGGCGTAGGCGGAGCCAGCAGCGCCCCCTCCCCTGCGGTTCATAAACTGCCCCTAGGGAGCGTGAACAACCAGGAGAGCGGCGAAGAGGACGGGCAAACGGGGTGTGGCGCGGCAGAAGGGAGAGGTGCGGCAGTTCGTGCATGCAGGGCAAGCAGGAAGGGCAGAGTGCTCCCCCCTGCCCATACAAACACCTCCTCTAACGGCGGTCTACCGCTAGCTCAGCTGCAATGGTCTCCACCAGGCACAGTGCGCTCTCCAGGAAGTCTGTACACACCCAGACCGACTGCCCGCTCAAAACTGCGGCAGTTCAGGTCTCTGGGTGCAGGGAGTGCCTGGGCCTGTTGCTGCCACCTGTGGGGGGCAAAGAGACTGTGTGCGTGAGGTGCGAGCAGGTGGACTTCATGGTTGTGAAAGTGACCTATACTCTTAGTTGGGCCCAAGTTTTTGGTGGCCAGAACCAAAAAATTGAGCCAGATACCCACTTCCCAAGGGCTGTGTGAGCGTGAGCTAGCCCAGCTCTGATCCCACACCCCTGGGCACCAACCCCAACTTGCACCACATCCTCTCCGCAGCAGCTCTCAGGAGAGATTGGACCTGAGCGCCCTTCGGAAAACCCTCTGGGCACCTGCAAGCAAAGGAGTGGAAGCCCAAGAGATCCTGTATAATTCCAGCAGCTGTAGGCAGAGAAAGTGCTTGCCTGTTTCTATAGCAAGTCCAACAGTCTCGGGAGGACAAATTTTGGATGCCCAGGTGCCCCGGTGGTGCAGCTCACAGGAGGGAGGAGGTAGATGTTTTTGCTCTGAATTGTTCACTTGTTATCTTACTGCACATCAGCCTTTTGAGAAACCTGCGAGAATTCTGTTGCTCTACAAAATGTATATTTAAAAGTTGGGATTTGCGTTTGCAAGAGTTTGACATCTATGACAGAAATACCAAACACCAGGAGACAGAAGATAAATGCTGGGACAGCGGCAGGGGACCTGGGGCAGGTGGCACCATGGCTTCGGGATGTCACAAGACGATGGTGTGAGTTTGTGGCACATCAGTGCTGTAATCACAAAACTGCATTAAAGACTTTTTTTTTCTTTTTTTTTTTTCACAGATTTATTTTTCTTGGACTGAATTACTCTTCAATGTAGAGATGAAGAAAGCTACAGGCAGCTGTAGCCATGCCTGTCCAAACACATAAGCTTATCCAGCCTTGAGTGTTGTTCTCTATACGAGGCAAGAAAAAATTGCTTTAGGTCTTCTAAGAGGGGATGGTGGTGCCCACGGCGTGGATGGTGGAAAGTGGTGGAGGTCACGACTGGTGCTGAAAGAGCTGAGGGTGAGTCTTTGTCTGCCTTTGGGTCTTCCAGCCCAAAAGCAGCGGTGCTGTGCACATGGTGGGGTTAAGCTGAGTTGCTCCATGCCAAAGTATGATCTGTGGGTTTATTTGTTTGGTTTGGTTTGGTTGTTTTTTCTTGGTTTCTGGAGCTGGAAGCAGGATGCTGGATTTGTTGGATCGTTGCTTTGAGCAGTCATGGCTGCTCCGACACTGTGGTGCTTAGTGCTTCCTCCAAAACCCTGGGCCATTACGCCCTCTCAGAAAAAGCCTTTGTAAATAAAACTTGTATCTTTCATGCAAAGTATGCTGCTTGTGAGGAGCAGGTTGAAGACTCCCTGCAGACATGGGGGTGCCAAAGATAATGCAAAGGTGTCGCATTGCTCTTCTCATCTGTATTCCTTATGGTCAGCCATCGGTGCAGCTCCTGGCCTTATCTCCCTGCTTATGCAAAGATTGCTGCTTGGAAAAAAACTAACAAACAAACAAGCAAACAACAACAACAACAACAAAACACGAGATTTTGTCAGTAAAGCCATTGGTCTCAGGAGTCTGGGTCCCAGGTTTGTTGGGTTCCTGGCCTGTTTGTCACTGTGCTCAGCCTGGTGACAATGTTTCCAAACTGATGGCTCTTGAGGCTGGCCTGAGAGAGCAGGGCTGGACTGAAATGAAACAGCTTCTTGGTGAGGAAATGTCGGCGGTGGGAGCTGACATGCTTCTCTGCATCCTCTGAAGTCTCCTCTCCACCAGTGCTGGTACCTGGTGGGACGGGGCAGGAGCTGGGCACATCACACGGAGCAGCAGGAGGGCTGGTGTTGAGCGTCCCGGTGCCGGTGGTGGGCTTTCCTCCAGTGTTGTGGCCAGAAGAGCAGGACTGAGCTGCCCTCCTTGCGCCCCAACCTCCAGGCCCTTCCTCAGCCTGGTTCTGCCCAGCACCATGTGCCAAACACTACTATGTCCATGCCGTCAGGCATCAAACATTACCGAGCCAGGGAAGGACAGAAGGAGCCTGCTGGGGGGACACGGGTCCTTCTGACACCTCCCCGCTGGCAGGGGTTGTGTCCCCAGCCCAGCCTTCCTCCCCTCTGCCACCGGTGGATTTTGTATGGGTTTGGCACTGCCGCCCCCTGCGAGACGATGGTGAGGAAAGGACTGATCACAGGGCATGCTCCAGGGCTAGAGAAACGATAAATGATTGTTTTGTGTCCAGATCGCTCCAGAAATAGCATCCTGCTCCCCTGCTAGGAAGTCGATGCTTATTTAAGAGACATTTCTTTTTGGAGATTTTCACCAACTATATTTAATCATAACGCTTCCGCCCCACTGGCACCGCTCCATTGCCTCAACTGATGTTAATGAAATCAAATATTCCTTGTGCTTAATCTTTCAAGGTGGGATTTCAAATGTTTTGCCTTCGTCCCCGATCCATCCCCGCCCCTCCGAGTTCCTCTCTCCTTTGTTTTCTCCCAGGCGAGGAGATGCAGCCTGGGGGATGCTGCGGAGCCCCTGCTACAAACCTGCACAGGCACCGAGGGCAGGGTGGATGCCTTCCCCCCGGCCAAAATTCCTGCTCCTGCGGGGACCAGTGACCCAGATACGCAAGCACAATGCTTTATCCTTTAGCCAGCAGCACTTTTGAGTCTAAATCTTGTTCCATACCCTCTGCCTAAGTCAGGCAAGGAGCCAGCAGTTATTCTTGGCCTAATTGAGTGATGTATACAAATACATATATATATGATTCCGAATGCCAAATCGGGGATGTATTTGTAGCTGCACCCACTTGAGCCTTCAAATAATATTGAAAAGTGAATTCGGGCACCGGGCTGGGGCAGCTCTCGAGGCTGAGCTGTGTGACAAACCTGTCGTTTCCCTGTCCCCCAGCACCCCTCGCCCGCCCGCCTGGCTTCGGCAGCCCTGCTCTCCAGGGCTCACGGCGATGTCCCTGCTGCAAAAACAAGCCCTGGCTGCTCTCCAAGGAGAGCTTCACTTTCCAAAGAAGCGGGAGGAGGGGGTAGAGCTATCCCATTAAGCCCCGTTAATGCTTAATGATTTTTCATCTCCAAGCTAATTGCTCCGTTACACTTTACCCCCACTCCTTTAGTCCCGAGCTGCACCCAGGCATTGGATAAAGAAGATCGGGAGGGACTTCCATGCTAAATGGCTTCAGTTGTTGCTGCACTCTTTTTTAATGGCTTCTCACAGGCACAAAAAAAGAACCAGCCAGCAGGATACCTTGATACTAGAGGTGGAAGCCGAGGTTCTAAAGCCTCCAGAGATGCAGCGCCTGCATATCCTCCCTGCAACTCCCCTGGGCCCTGGAGAGCCGCCTGAAGGATGAGTAAGGATGCTCAGGCCATTGCCA